ACACACAGTACACAAACTAACAACACACACTGATACACTGTCACACACTCACTGCACACCACACACAGTACACAAACTAACAACACACACTGATGCGCTGTCACACACTCACAGCACACCACACACGGATGCACAGCACCGTCACACACTCGCAGCACGCGCCGCGCCGAGGACCCGTCCACGCCGTGAGCGCACGCGGGCTGCTGACGCCCAGACCCACACGGCTCGCTCTCCCCGCGCCGTCAGAGAGAGAGCGAGCGAGCGCGCGCGAGCCAGCCGCCGGGATTAACACAGGGAGCAGAGGAGCCGTCCGGACACGAAGGAAACCAGGTGGCTCGGGGACGGACCGGCGAGTTCAGAGACCGCACCGGCGGGGCGGCAGGAGGAAGCGCGGGTTCGGGGGGAAGAAGTTTTCCAGCCCTGTGGCGCTGCGAGGAGCGGGCGCGGGGAGGGTGCGCGGGGATACGACACCGCTCCGGGATATCTACTCCACGGGCAGTCCCCGCTCCACAGTTACAGGGACACGGAGGGGTCTGGGGGCGCAGCGCGGCGCGGCGGCGGGACGTGGGATTTGGGATCGAGCGAGGGAGTCGCGTGGACCCCCCGCCCGGGCCCGCGGGAGGAGTGGGCTCCCCACGAGACGGTCCCCCCCACGGAGGAAGGTAAGCGCCTTACCCGCCGGCTCCAGACTGCCTCTCTAACTTCCACACGCCGCGAGCAGGGTTGGGGTGCCGGGGGGTCTGGGCTCACGAGCCGACGCTACAGCCATAAGCTTATTAAGGCGTTTGCATAAGAACCCCCAATAACAACAACAACAACAACAACAACAACAACTTCTTTCTACACTGAGGGAAAGAGAACCGTTTCGTGCACAAGTGTTGGTATTATTATTATTATTATTATTATTATTATTATTATTATTATCGCAGAACTTCAGCGATTTGTCACAAAACGTCCTTTTCCGCCTGGGAGACGGACCGGGTGTTCGTTGGGGACAGTGCGGTGAGCCCGTGCGGAGGATGGATATCGGAACCGCGTAGTTCGGTTTCCTCAGCCGCTCGGGGGGCTCGCCACTCTCCTCTCCACGGGCGCGAGGAGAGCGCAGCTGCGTGGAGCCCACGCGCGCAGAATCCCCCCCCTCCCCTCCCACGAGAGCCCGCGACGCCGGTGGCGGTTCGGCTTGGCTTCGGTGGGCGTCTCAGAGAGCGGGTCCCGAGCGGTGTCAGACCAGACCGGACCGGTCTGGACCGGACCCGCGCCCCCGCGCGCGCCGGGTGCTCACCTGTTGTTTCCCCGTCACGGAAAGACACCTGCGTGCTTCCCTGCGTGAGACCGGTCTCAAACCATCCCCCCCCGCGTGGCATTGATTTCGTGTCGCGAAGAGTTTGAGGAACATGCTTCTAATGAGGCGTTATTTTTTATTTTTTTGTACAATGGAAGAGATTGCTACTCGCGGTCGTGCGTGTGTGTGGGGGGAGGCAAGTTGCTTTTCAATTTTGAAAGATGGTCGAGATTCTAAAACCCGTCTTTTATTTTTAAAGAGATAGATTAAGATTCACACACGGATAAATCCAAACTCAGACACAGATAGATTCAGATTCACGCACAGGTGAATCCGGATTCATGCACAGAGTGCTGTATATTCGGATTTACACCTGAACACCTCCAGCAGCGACCCTCGCCCGCGAGACGCATTTGTATTCACCTGCTGGCCTTCTCGCGCCCCTCGGGGCAGTTCCCCCAGTTCCCCCAGTAGCGCTGCTTTTCAGCTGCGTCGTGTCGCTGCGACACAAAACCCCAAACCAGACACTACCCGTTTCCCCGAGGCGCAGTTCTGGCCTCCTGGAGCGACTGCCCCCCGGGAGAAAATCTCCCCAAGCAGGAGAGGAGAGTCAGGGACCACCGGCCTGGCGCGCTACAGAGGCCCCCAGCCCCACGAGCGGAGAGTCGAGCTCTTCCTCCAACTTTCTTCTGAACGACACGGGGACACAAACCGCCATCGCTCCAGCGCGAAGAGCGCCGCTTCCGCAGGTCGGGCCGGAGAGCAGCACAGGCGTGTCGTGTGGCCCAGGCGTGTCGTGTGGCCCAACTTCACGCGGAATTCAGGATTTTGGCTCCGAACTGTTCCGGTTTCAGTGTTGCACAGACCCAGCCTGACGGCTCCGGCACCACTGACCGCGACAGCGACCGCGACAGCTGAACCGCGCGGCAGGTTCAGTTTCCTCCTGACATCGGCCTGTAGAGGAGGACAGGCAGGGTGTGATCGGGGAGGCGGTACCGCGCAGGTTCTGGTGCGGGTTCTGGTGGACAGGACGCCTCGGTGGACAGGACGGGGCAGCGGGCAGAACCCCCGGCCACTCCGGCCGAGGGGGGGGGGGCGCGAACCGGAGGCAGAAGTTCGGCTCGGCGGCTCGTTCGCGCCGGGCCGGACCGGCGGACCCCGGGCTGGAGACGCAAGAGCGGCGGCGGCGAGGGGGGGCGCGTTCACGGGGGCGCAGGCGGGCGCATGCATCGACCCGCACTGAGCCGGCCGAGCCCAGGCGCGCACACGGGCTCGGAGGCTCGGAGGCGGACAGCGATGAAGATGATGATGAAACCAGTAAACCTGGAGTCCTCATCAAGCGGTCCAGCGCTTGAACCCGCGGACGCCCGGTCGGTTTAAAGGGAACACTGCCTCTGGGGGACTCGCTGTCAGTGGGCGACAGCCCCCCTGTCTCCTGAAGGGCCGTGTGTTCTCACAGGCGGTATATGTCGGGCGGGAATCGACACTTTGAAAGCAGGTTTTCCTTCCGTTTCGAGGCGGGGTAGTCCGTGTGAACTGTTATTGCCGTGTGCGGGACATGTCCTGTTGCTCAAAGTAAAATCAAGTGTTTCAGGTCCAGTACAGGCCGAAAAAGACACCCAGTAAAGTTGCTCAGGAGAGAGGGAGTGGGTTGGCAGCCCTGTTCCAGCACCTGGGGGCTTGCTAGCCTCCTGGTGTGATTGTTGAAGACGTGGTCAGCTGTGGAAGGCAGGTCGTGGAGGTTATTGCAGAGTATCAGCGCCAGAAGCAGGGAGCTGCTCTGCATACTTTGCACAGCAGCACAGCAGCACAGTGCTGAGGCGGCTTCAGGACCGTCCGCCTCCGGACAGCTCCCCTGCCAGCTTCAGCACTGCGCAGGCCAGGACACCTCCACACCACAGCGCCTCATACACACGAGACAGCA